ACAAGAGCAAAAGGGGGAAGAAGCCTCTTTTCCTCCCTTACATTGTATGCAGGCTACCTGTCCCAGGGCTGGTGCAGCACTCACACCCCCAATCCCAGCAGTAGACAATGATCCAGTCACAAACTCTAGATTCAGCCACCTCTGAAAATCCCGCTCCTTCATGGTCCACATAAGGCTTTGAGGGGGACATCCAGACCCAAACCATAACAAGGGGTCTTGAGTTTTCCTTCACTGTATGAATGTTTTCAGCGGATACATTTATCTAGATCTACTCTACTAAAGGCACAGTGGCATGCCCTACTCTTTCTGTCTACATGAATAAGAAGTGGTCTGTGACCCCAGTGTGTCCTAATGAAAGATGAGATGCTCTGACACAGTGAGATCACATTTGACAAGTAACATCCGAGCTGTGTGGGTGGCTTCCTGAGGGAGTGACGAGAGGGAGAAGCTCATTCCTGTGTCAGGGAAATCAGAATGACTGGGATAGGAACAGAGAAAGAAGAGCATCTTAGACAATTCGAGAGGTACAGACACACCGGGCAAGGAGGAAAGAGGGAGTCGTGGGGTCTTTCTGAGGGCTGGGGTTGGTACAGGTGTGGGGCTGCCATCAGTACTCTGAGAAAGGAGCCCCAAAATATGTAGAGAAGCCTGGCAGCCGAGGGCCTAGAGATGTTTAATTTGGTCAAGACTGTTTTAAAAATTTAAGCCAATTTTGAAAACCAGATTTCAGATAAAAGGCCAGATTAGTGGCTTCTCCTGAAAATTCAAACGATCTGACAACAGAGAGAGCATTTCTTCGGGGCAGCAGGTGGCTGGGGCTGAGGCTGAGGCATGGCCACCTCTTTAGTAGATATGAGTTATCTCCCTGATACAGCAGTGCAGCTGTGTCTCCCCACACTGCTTGCTTGGCCTTGGGTGCAGGTCCTTGCTCTGTTGCAGGTCTCAGCCCAGGCAAAGGTGGAAACATCAACAAAGAACCCTAAAGCCTCTGTCCCGGCCCACTTTTTCTCACATATGTTGTATCGCAGTCTACTCTGCCCCCTGCCTGCCACTATCCAAATAGAAACTCTCTTCCTTAGCCCCTGGAGTTGCAGTATGCATGCCTTTCAAGATTGTGAGACAAAAGTAAAATCATCCCTCTGCAGTCTCTGTGGATTCGTTCAGGACGCCTAAGTGTACTAATATCCATGGATGCTCAAGTCCCTTGTACAAGATCATGTAGTGTTTCCGTAAAACCTACACACATCCTCCTGTACATTTAAAATCATCTCCAGGTGACTGACAATACCTCCTGCCATGTACATGCTCTGTACATTGTTGCTTGCTGTCTTGTCTGAGGAATAATGAATGACAAGGAAAAAAACCCTGCATGTTCAGTACAGATGTGGCTTTTCCCCTGTATCTTCCTTCTGAGCTTGTGGGTAGGTGGACACGGAACCTGCAAACAGAGGTCTGGCTGTGTCTGAGACATCTTTCAAACAGCTCCAGAGCCAACACCTGAGGCTGCAGATGTGCTGAGTCAAACATCATTAAACTTCGGAGTGGGGCAGCTGAGGTTGTTTTCTTGTTTTTATGTAAACAGATTAGAGAACTAGTATAACCCCGACCTCTGGTCTTTTGATCCCACCCCGCCAGCCTTGGAGATTTACTCAATGGACTTGGCCTTTCCTAAATGCTCAGGACATGCTCTGTGCATGTATGGAAATATCACACAGAACCCCCATTAATTAACTAATGAATTACTTAATTAATCTATTAAAAATAAGAAAGCAAAACAAACAAAAGTGCTTAGAGTCTCCCCTTTTTCACTGGTTTTTGTTTTGTTCCTTTTTTTTTTTTTTAAAGAAAGGGTGTCACTCCGTAGTTCAGGCTGGCCCAGAACTCACTATGTAGACTAGGCTCAAGTTCCTCCTGCCTCAGCCTCTGGAGTGCGGGATTATCGTTGTGCGCCGCCACACCCAGCAAGTGTGCCCATCTTCTCTGCCTTATAACTCTTCGCCTGTCTGTGCCCTGGGACTCTCCTGTGAGTTGACAAGACTGCTCAACTGACATCTGAGCAAGGCTGGATTCCTCATGGGACAGGACCCAAAAAGCCACATCTGAGCTTACAAAATCACAGTAGTGTGTGGTCACCGGGCCCTCCAGGACCCCGCGATTTAGCCCTCGTCCAGGCAACACTAATGAATTAAGAGGTCAGTTTGGTAATTCCTAAGGCTAAGCCCTCGTAACTATAAATACATACAGAGAATGAAAGGAATGCAGAAAAGAAAAACAAACGGAGGAGGAAAAGGACATGAAAAACCTGACTTGATTTCATTGAGAAAATTAGTTTGAAAACTCCCTGTGCATAGCAGCTCCCTCAGCACCCTTCCGTACAAATGCCCGGGAGACTTCTGACAGCCACAGAAGTCTCCACAGGAGTGAGGAGAAAGCAGAGAGCTTCTGTGTACTCGGCTGAGCAGGAAGACCAGGCTTTAATGAACCACAGAACTGGAGACTTTGTAAGGTACAGCTCGGTCAGCACTTTCCTCTGAGGAGAGAACACGCAGTTGGCATGAAGACCACCCAAGCAAGAGGTCAAGGCAGAGGCTGTCCAAGAGATCCGGCTCCCCGCTCTTCCAGACATCACCGCACAGAGCCCTCAGTGCCCTGAACGAGTCCAACCAGATGGAAAATGCTGGCCCCGCTGAAATGCCATTTGCAGCCCCGTGCGAGTTAGACTGTGCCATCCGGAATGCTGGAGTCAGGGGAGGTTGTACTTTGTTGGCTTTTTCCCCCTGCGGTTTTCACCATCTGTTTCTTTGAATGTATAAACAAGGAAAATGACTGGTTTGGAATGCACAGTTTTTAAAAACCAGATGACCACAGGCAGCCTCTAAATGAGAAAGAGAAAGCAAGTTGGGGCTCCGTGACATTTGTCAGGAAGTGAGACGTTAAATACGGAGAAGCACGAATGCGCTCTGCCAGGGAGGGTCCACGTGGGGAGGAACGACTTGGCTCGTGACATTTTCGCAGGGTCCTGTCGTCTGTCTACACGTCACCGGATGCCACTCTCAGACACCAGTGCCACCCCTACCTCCTGCTCACGCCCCTTTTTAAATGAAGAGTGCACAGCCAGCCTGGCCCCCCACTAGCTTTATTTCCAAGCTGCCAACCTTGGAAGAACTCCATTCTTAGAGGCGTTTAGGCTGAACAAAAGCTGTGCTGTGAGCAGGTTCTATTATGAAGCCGGAATAGAGAGTTATAAATAGAGGAGCTGATGAGATAGACTAAGAGAAGCTCTTCATTTCTCTTCTGGACAATAGTGAATACAAAAAAAGAAAAAAGAAAAACTTATATAAGGGCATGAGGAGCGCAGTGTGTTTTGCTTTAGCAGAGGGCATCCTGGTTTACAGCGGCCGCTCCACTCCCACAAACCTTAGAGCTGGGGAAAGACTTAGTGAAGATGCTGAGGGCATACTAATCTCTTTCGCCTTCAGTGCAAGAAATGATCAGCCGCGACAGCACCAGGGATTTTAAACAAAATCTTCGAGCCCCTGGGGAGAAGGGCATTTGTGCGTTTGGCCGTGTTCCACCCACTTCAGCACAAGACAGACGCGGAGCATTTTTCACATAGTTTTTAGGCAGCCTGACGCCATGCTTTTCACATTAGAGAAAGGATAAAGGATGAGGGTTTCTTAGGGAACAACTGACGCTTCTTAATTTGCAGTGTCTGTTCTCAGGGATGTCGTGGGCAGTTCATGAAGTGGACACTGTGTATGTCTGGGGGGTGGGAGGAAGGCAAATACAAAATGCTGGCAGTTCAGAAGCCCTGGGAGGATTAGCTACATTTCAAAATGAATGAAGTTCAAATAATGTCTCTACCCATGCTCAGGGCACCAGTGCTCTATGTAGACAGGAGTACAGGAGTCGGAGGGGGTGAGATTCATTTTGCTGGCATCAGTGAGTTCATTTGATTTCTGACATCCAAGGATGCAGGAACTGTAGGGGATATTTGCTTCCCCCGTGCAAATGAGAAAATGATAGGAGGGCAGAGGTCAGGAGCCTGAAGCTGTGCTTCTGTGTAGTCAGCTCTCTGTATCTCAGGATCCACCAACCACACTTCAAAACATGCGGAAAAACATTTGCCTCTGTACTGAACATGGATGGGGTTTTTTCTGGTCATTATTCCCTAAACCATAGGCTATAACAATTATGGAAACAGCATTTATGTCAGATTAGATAGTACAAGCAATCAGAGTGTGCTGGGAGGTTCATGTTGGTTCTCTACAAATGCTACTCAGTCGTCTACACCGTCCTCTGCAAGGAACTTGAGCATCCATGGGTTTTCCTATCTGAAGAGGTCCTGGAGCCCTGCCTGTGTGGACCCTGAGGGACAACTGTATTTCATTTGTTTCTTAAATTGAAAGTTCCCTGAAGCTTCTAAGGGCAGCGCTGTTTAGCACTGGCTTTGTAGAAGTACTCTTGTGACCTACGGAATTTTAATTATAATCATCATCATAATGTCAGATGAAGAGGCCTACTAGAGAAGCTATGAGAGGAATTTTAAGTGGCCAAACTGTTGGCTTATTTACTTTACAAAGTTTCAGAGCCTTTTTTTTAAAAATTCAGCATGCTTTGCATTTGGCCTCTCTGGGAGGATCATCTCAGACTTTCCTAATTTAAACATGAAGTATAAACACAATTTAAACACAAAGTCTGGGTTTGGGAACTGAGACCGTAGCTGAAGAACTCTGAGATGATTTTGTGACCATGACAGCAATAGAGAGCGCTCAAAGGCTTGCTTCATGCTGGGATCCAAGAAGGATTTAGAAGTTTAACCTTGGGTCTTCTTGTCCTCTTTTTCCTCTTCTCTATTTCCTTGTTTCCTCCCTTCTTCACTTTCCCGCTCCTATTTCCTTCTGCAGGGAGAGAGATGAGGTAAATGCCCAGTTAGGAGGCTAGGAGATTCACTGAGGATTTGGGCGTGGTATTTCACACCTCCATGTTTCCTCCCATAGGTGATCACCCCTGTGAGAACAGGCCATGGCTACGTGTATGAGTACCCATCCAGATACCAAAAAGATGTCTACGACATCCCTCCTTCCCACAGCACTCAAGGGGTAGGTACCGGGCATAGTCCCCAAGGGAGGGGTTCTTGGTGCAGCCTTCCTGGAACGACAGAGAAAAGGAAGTTCACAAATGACGTCTATTTCATATGAGGCTTTGTTTAGGTCATCAGTCCAGAGGCCATTTTAGCCAATTTTTCAAAATTATGTTTCCTGGAATTTCCTTATAAGGAAATCCTAGTGTTTTATCTGAGAGAGCTTTTGGTGCTTTATCAGTTTATTGTTTTATTCCTGGAAGTATAAAATTTAAATTACAACTTAAAGAGCCAACAGGGCAGAGAGTCTACTTAAGGTCACTTTTCTATTCAATCTAAGTCAAAGAACACAAAGTTTATTTTTTAAAAATTCCCTCAGTCCTTTATGGCATGGAATGCTGCCAAAGGTCAAGCCAGTACAGAACCTGGTAAAGAAATGCAGACATTTCCACGGTGGGTAACGAAAGTGTTTCTCTTCAGGTGTATGACATCCCTCCCTCATCCATGAAAGGCGCTGTGTTTTCAGTTCCAGTGGGAGAAATAAAACCTCAAGGGGTGTACGACATCCCTCCTACTAAAGGGGTAAGTGTGCTACTGAGGGCAGCCGTGGAGAGAGAGAGAGAGACAGAGACAGAGATACAGAGAGAGAGAGAGAGAGAGACAGAGAGACAGAGAGACAGAGACAGAGAGAGAGACAGAGAGAGAGAGACAGAGGGACAGAGAGAGAGAGGTCATTTGGAATAAAACAAGAAGGGCAAACCCAAAAGGGGAAAAACTAGCCTTGGTGAAGGAAAGGAAGGAAGGGAGGGGGCAGGGTGGGGAGGGGAGGAGAGGAACAGTGAGGGGAAGCGATGGAGAATTTTAGGTATTCCAAGTCTAGAGGCCCCTCTTAAAAATAGGGAAGTCGATAAGGAGAGCCAATTAAAAGAGAAGAGAATTAGCTCAGCCTGGCAAGATCCTTTTTTTGTTTGTTGTTGTTTTCCATTACCGGGAATCAAACTCATGACCTTGTGCTTGCCAGGCAGGCACTGTGCCGCTGAGCTAAATCCCCAGGCCCTCAGCCTGGCAAGTTCTAATACTTCTCATATTTATGGAGGTCTTTAGACTCAGTCCACATGTAAGAGTTAGCTGATTTGATTCACTGTTTCTTTTGGGGGTACCCTCCCACTGGAAGTAAAGGTATCTCCTTTTACAGATATGAGAACTGTGTCTCAGAACAGTCAGGTGACTTATATGGCTTCACAAAGTTGGTGTGATGACCAGGGAGACCAAGGGGAGACCTCAGGGGTCCTGACCCTCAGTCCAATGTATTAGTGCAACATCTGCCTCTCAGGAAGGACACCCCGCAGGTGGTTAGGAACACGGGTCTGGGATCCAGGAGCAAGCTGCTCAGCCAGGAGGGCTCCATGCATGTGTCAGGACTGAGACCATACTAAGTTGCCCTTGCCCTGGATGGGAGGGGAGCCCCATGGCACCCTGGGAACTGCCTCCTGTTGGAGGGAGGAGAGAAGAGGATCCTGGGCTGTGTTCACATGGGCTGTTCGGTGTCCATGCACTCCCAAGTGTCAACTGAACCAATAGGAGTTTTGCTTTTTGTTTACTTTTCAGATCTATGCCATCCCACCTTCTGCTTGCCGTGACGAAGCAGGGCTTAGGGAAAAGGAATATGATTTCCCTTCTCCAATGAAGCAAGCTGGAAGGGCCGACATCAGACCCGAGGGGGTTTATGACATCCCCCCAACCAGTGCCAAGCCGGGGGGCAAGGACCTACACACAAAGTTCAGTAGTGATGGGCCGGGGGCTTCGGAGCCCATGGCGCGAAGGCACCAGAGCCTTTCCCTGCACCACCCGTCCCCACCGCTGAAACAGCCCGTGGGCTCTCAGAATGATGCCTACGATGTCCCCCGCGGGGTTCAGTTTCTGGAGCCATCAGCAGAAGCCAGTGAGAAAGCGAATCCTGAAGAAAGAGATGGCGTTTACGATGTCCCTCTGCACAACGCCCCAGACACTAAAGGCTCTCGAGACGTGGTGGACGGCATCAACCGGTTGTCTTTCTCCAGTACAGGGAGTACCCGGAGTAACATGTCCACATCGTCCACCTCCTCAAAAGAGTCCTCACTGTCAGCCTCCCCGCCCCAGGACAAAAGGCTCTTCCTGGATCCAGACTCTGCCATCGAGCGGCTCCATCGGCTCCAGCAGGCCCTGGAGATGGGCGTCTGCAGCCTAATGGCACTGGTGACCACGGACTGGCGGTGCTATGGGTACATGGAAAGGCACATCAACGAGATCCGCACGGCCGTGGACAAGGTGGAGCTGTTTCTGCGCGAGTACCTCCACTTTGCCCAGGGCGCCGTGGCAAACGCCTCCTGCCTCCCGGAACTCCTGCTGCACAGCAAAATGAAGAGGGAGCTCCAAAGAGTGGAGGACTCCCACCAGATCCTAAGCCAAACCAGCCATGACTTAAATGAATGCAGCTGGTCCCTGAATATCCTGGCCATCAACAAACCCCAAAACAAATGTGATGATCTGGACCGCTTTGTGATGGTGGCCAAGACGGTGCCCGATGATGCCAAGCAGCTGACCACCACCATCAACACCAACGCAGAGACCCTCTTCAGACCAAGCCCCGGCAGTTTGCATCTAAAAAATGGGCCCGAGAGCATCATGAACTCAGCCGAGTACCCACACGCTGGCTCCCAGATGCAGCTGCTACGCCCTGGTGACTGCAAGGCCCAGGCCCACAACAAGCCAATGCCCTCCACCCTGGGCAAGGACCAGCCACCTGACTGTAGCAGCAGCGACGGCTCCGAGAGGAGCTGGATGGATGATTATGATTATGTCCACCTGCAGGTAAAGAACCAGACTCACAGACTTCCTACACTCACACGCAGGGAGCTCACAAGGCTGTTAGGCTGGAGAAAGCATGATTAATGTCAATCCCAGAGGTCTGGAAGCTGGAAGTGATACTGAACACTAGAAATAACAGTGAACTGAAAGCCTTGTGACCTTGGCCTGAGGCTATGCTCTGGCAGTAATTGTGTGGCCAGTGTATTAACTTCCCTGGACCTTCATTTTCATGTGCAAAATGAATGAGTTACTGGGCTGGATGAGATCCTATTGATATACCTCCAGCAAGCAGGAGATGCACCAAGTAGGATAGCAGGTCCTCTGATGACCGTACCGACTCCACTTCTGTTTGGCTTTTACCATACAGATCTATGTAATAGCTTATTTGAAAGAAAGTTTCCATTGTTATGAAAAGTAATTGAAAACTTCAATTATTGGAGAATTTCTAAGGCCCTCTCTAGGTCTAGTTGTGTATGCGTGTGTGTTTGATTATTCATAGAGACACCTCATCCCATCTCAGTCTTACTTAGAAGACAACTGGGCATTTCCCAGTTGGCTTAGAGCTTAACTTGCATTTGGGCTATTATATAATCACAGTCTGCCTTCTACAGGTGGAATTTCCACCAAGTTCTAAGTTGACCTGGGACTCTGACAGCTTGCCCTTCCACTTTGAGGATTTAAAGCATTCTAGAATTACTTAGAATTTGGAGTGTATTCTATCTTATTCTGCCATTTTTCTTTTTTGGCTGAGAGTCATGCATGAATTTCACTGAAAACTGTTAAACTACCAATGCCCCTGCGTGTAAGCGAGTGGAGCAGGGGCAGCTTAGCCACACCTGGTGTGGAGGAAGGGTAAATTCATCTCACTGGCCTTCCAACTGGGACAGCCTAATCCTGGGAAGTACTAACTTGGAATAGAGAGATAGAGGCGATTCAAAGAAACTAGAAATGCAATGTGGACCACAGTTAGAAAAATATTTGGAAGTTTGTGGGTTCACATATAACCTATGACAAAAGAACCACGAGAAATTATACTTCTTAAGGGATCATTGGAAGCTGTCTGCAAATGGTAAGGTGGAGCAGAGAGCGCAGAATCCATGTGGAAAGGGGCTTTAGTTTTCAGCCTTGGCTTCCACAGTGACACTGGACATCTGGCTGAGAAACCTGTCGTCCTTGTGGGACTCACAAGGGGTCTAATTGGGCATGCAGGAAGTGACCAAGGCTGGGGATGATGAAAGAGTGTGTATGCAGTTCTTAATGAAATTGTGAGCATCGGTGGCTCAAGGAGATGACGTAATGTGTTCTTTTTGTTGAAAAATAATAGGGTAAAGAGGAGTTTGAGAGGCAACAGAAGGAGCTGCTGGAAAAAGAGAATATCATCAAACAGAGCAAGACACAGCTGGAACACCATCAGGTAAGCTCAATTAAAACAAAAACTCTTTGGTGGTGGAAAGGCTTCCAACTTAGTAGGGAAAGTATAACTTCAAAAGGTTATGATTCAGATCCTGCCAGCACACTGGTATAAACAAGCTCCAAGGCATATAATAGGGTGTAAGAACAAAGAGAAGGTTTACGGCCTTGCTAATCCAACTGGATGTACCTGGATTACATCCAAATGACACTTTTTTTCAGGCTATGCCTGTTAATACATATTAGGACTACTTGAATTAAGGCTTTTCATCTCAAGACACAAGACCCACTCAAGCACACCAAGCAAATGAGTTTTATATTGAGGCCATAGGAAAGGAATTTAAGAACAAAACATGAAGCTATAGCCTAGTTTGGAGAAAACTAGGACTACATATTCTCTCCTTGTTTCCTTTGCTTTTCCCCCACCCTCTTCTCTTCCTCTCACTGTCTGTGTCTGCTTTGCTCTCCCTTATTTTCTGACATTTTCTCACCAACATACTCATTTGGCTTCCCTTTAACTTTATAGAATCCATGAAGGGCCACTCAAGGCCCTTCCTATGGTGGTATTTCACCTCAGAGTCCTCAGCTGATGACCCCACTCCCTGCAGTAGTTCCTCAGATTCTCTCTCTGTCTCTCTCTGTCTCTCTGTCTCTGTCTCTCTTTCTCTCTCTCTCTGTCTCTCTCTGTCTCTCTCTCAGTGTGTCTCTCCCTCTCTGAACAGCTAAAGCCTTTGTCTTGCCTGTGGATGGTTCAGTTAAGGGCAGGAAGATAGGAAATTGTGTCTTCAAAATATAACATTAAGCACCTGCCTGGCAAGCGCAAGGTCGTGAGTTCAGTTCCCGGTACCCGAGAAAAACCCAAAAACCCAAAAAAAATATATATATAACATTTACCAAGGACTTTGGGCAGGATTTATTCATTCAAAAGTTGAGTATAAGTGGAACAGATAATGATGAGTATTGCTAGGACAAGGGCATAAAAATACAGAAAAAATGACTGAAGATTTACAAGCCTTCTAAGATGAAAGGAAACAGAATGATGTGTAACAGCATGAAACAGGCTGCTGTCTCCAGAAACCTGAGCTTTAATCCTTGCTTTCTGACCAACCAGTTATGTCACCTGAGGCAAGTCGTGTAACCTCCCTGAACTTCAGTTACTCCTCTAGAAAATGGAATGTGTGCCATCCAGCTAATGAGATGATGCACTGATGCACATATTCACAAAAGTGTAAGCTACATAAAATATAACATGGAATAGCATGCTGGATCTGTCTGTGTTTGCAGGGGCATTTGGCCGGGTAGGACAATAAAGTTCTAGGAAACTTGCTGAATCCATAGTGGTTCCTAAGAAGCAAGCAGATTTCATAGAAAAGCCAGGTTGGCTGTGCATTTCTCTCAGGAAAAGCCAGGTGAGGTGATTCCTCCTCTGACTCACCCCTGCATCAGGCTGAGAGAGTAACTGAGTCCTAAAATCAAATCACACATAACCCTCACCTGCAAAAGACAGGTCTCTCCTGAGTTTTGGTAGAATAGCTACAAATTATTATACTTGCAGCTTAAATAATATTCCAGGTGGGGACAGCAAAGAGAGAAGCAAGAAAGCTAGCACACATCACTCTGTACAGGTCTTTTCTTTTAACAGCTGGGGAGAGAGGCTAACCATTATGATGCACAATTAGCATTTAGATTTCCTCAGCTGTAGTCCTTTCCCTAAGAACAAGTATACCTATATGCATTGGCCTTCCACAGTGCTGGGTTATAACATATCTACCCATCTTGCCAGATAGAATAGGAGAAATAGGACAACATCATGAATTGTCATTTCATCTAAACAACTTGGAGAATCATGACTTTCCCCAAGAAGGAGCAAACTGTTAGCGAATTATTTGACGAAATCAGCACGACATTTGGCTTCCCTTGGCACCGTTTAACATCTGAGAACTTTTAAATACTAATTCATTTACCCTTCAGAAGGTGAAGGTTCTGGGGTGACAAAGCTGGGGTCTAAACCCTATGATGCTTCCAGCCAGAAGCCGGAAGAGACCACAGGTCTAATTATAGGAGGTCTGCATTGGAGGATTCCTGAGATTCATCATTCCCAGCATCTGCATTGTACAGTATAGGAAGCAATGTGGCTTGACCGAGGCCTGACAGCTAATAAGCATCTGACAGAAATTAGAGTGTGTCAACCCAGTGTCTTTTAATTCTATGCACAGGTTCATTTCCATTACAGCACACCGCCTTGTTCTTCATTAAGTCTCCTTTTGTCTTCCTTTCAGCTGAGTCAGTTCCAGCTGTTAGAACAAGAAATTACAAAGCCTGTGGAGAATGACATCTCTAAGTGGAAACCCTCTCAGAGCCTCCCAACCACAAACAGCAGCGTGGGTGCCCAGGACAGGCAGCTGCTCTGCTTCTACTATGACCAATGTGAGACCCACTTCATATCCCTCCTCAACGCCATTGACGCACTCTTTAGCTGTGTCAGCTCAGCCCAGCCTCCTCGGATCTTTGTGGCCCATAGCAAGTTTGTCATCCTCAGTGCACACAAACTGGTGTTCATTGGAGACACACTGACAAGGCAGGTGGCTGCACAGGACATTCGCAACAAAGTCATGAACTCCAGCAACCAGCTCTGTGAACAGCTCAAGACTATAGTTATGGCGACCAAGATGGCCGCCCTCCATTACCCCAGCACCACCGCCCTACAGGAGATGGTCCACCAGGTGACAGACCTGTCCAGGAATGCTCAGCTCTTCAAGCGCTCTTTGTTAGAGATGGCAACATTCTGAGGAGAAGAGGAAGAAGAGAGGGGACTGTGTGAATGGTTACTTAAGGAAAACTGGAAAAACTATCTGGTTTTTGTAAATGTTATCTATTTTTGTAGATATTTTATATGAAAATGAAATATTTTAACATTTTATGAGTTAGACAACTTTCAGAAATTCAGGGAGCTGGAGAGGGAAATCTTCTTTTTCCCTGTGTAGTTCTTATGTACACATAAGTAGCTAAGACATAAGCTGTACAGAAACATGTCCATATGTGTGTGGATGACTGTGTATTCATGGGTTTTTTTTTTTTTTTTTTATCTGATACATTCCATTTAAGAAACATGAATTAAGAAGCACCTTAGTAAACACATCCAAATGCTGCATTTTGTAGTTTTTAAAAAGTTGTTATTGTTTAGAAAATGTTTCAGCTGGTTGTAATATTGCTCTACCTGTAGTAGTGGCACATGAAAATCTGGGAAATCATGAGCCTGGCACATGAAATCATGTGAAAATCTGGGAAATACAGCATATTTACAAGTGTTCACCAGCGAAGAGAGAAGCAAGAAAGCTGGCACACATCACTCTTCATTGTGTGAAGCACTGTATGCTTTAGTCTTGTTTTAAACCTCTTTCAAAATTGACCGCTAGGACACATTATGCCAAATCACCCCACTTCTGGTTGAAAAGCTCTCTTGGAGAGCAAATTTCAGAAAATGTACGTTAACCCAGGCCCAGACAGTTTAGGTGCTGGGGAAACATGTGTAATGTATTAAGAGACCATGTCTACAATTGGGATTGGGCTATTTCAGTGCTGAGAGGTAGATACAGTAAAGAGTAATACTTGTTTCCCCAGGGCTATTTAATCTTCTGCATTTGTGAGTGATTCAGCTATCAGGTTTTCCAAAGAATATTTTCAGAGTTGTAAAAAAAAAACTTGTTTGTAGCAGGAATTTATCAGAATGTCTAGATCAGAACGTCCTTTCCACCAAAACAAGTAATGGTTCTATCTTCCAGTTGTAAATAGAGGCCTTTCTGACTCTTCACATTCAGTTGTTACATACTTCTATCCCATTACCAAAGAAACTGGCAAGGTCCTTAGTCACTAACATTCAGAGCCACCTGGCCATATCCTGGTCTCTTTGGTTGGTCTTGCACCCTCCTTGAAACTCATATATGCACACTTGACTCTCAGAGCCACAGTAGAGGGTCCTTCTGATCTTCGCAACTCCGTGTGGCTACTGTCCTTGTGATTAAGACCTCCCACCATCTCACAGCTAGTCCCAGCATTTGTCTCATACTCTGTCTTCTCTCAGCTGCCAGTGTGGACCTAGCACAGTCGTCAGATTCATCATGGGCAGATGAAATACTTCCTACCTGGCATTTTCAAGAAGCCCTATTTTCTATAGTCTTGCAGACCATAGTACTCTAGTCTTTTTGGAAACGTTTTCATTTGCAATATTTGCAGTACATTCCTTGGCCAAATTAGCTTACTAATTTTGAACAACCAAATCATTGAACCAGGGAGGAATTTAAGAAAAATGCATGTCCCTGGGGTGATTTAAAGAAATAAGTGGAAATTATAGAAGGTGCTTTTCAAAACAACTACTATTATCATTCTCAAAGTTCTACACTACCAAAAGAAGATTTAAAAGTGTATTGTTATGTGACAAATAAATGTGTGTGGAGGAGAGGAGTTGCTGAACAGCAATGACTCTTGAAGACATTAAAAGTCTGCCCTTGTAGATCTCATTGCATGATGTATATTTCTTAGGCAATAACAGACTTATTCTAAGCTATGTGGTGATATTTCACACCTTCAGAGGCAGAATGTTCAATCTGTATTACTTTATTTGCCATCTTGTATGTAGAGGCTGTTTTCAAATCATTAAAATTTTAGATGTTTTTATAGTCACTGGGTTTTCTTTCCCATATTTCTGTCTTTGTCATAGAATTAGATATAGGCTTATTTTGGCACAAGTTTTAAATTATTTTATTAACTCCCTCAATCTGGATGTTTTTCACTGAGGGTGTGTGTGTGTGTGTGTGTGTGTGTGTGTGTGTGTGTGTGTGTGTGACTTCAGTGTGCCTTTGCATTTGAAGAAAATTTTATAACTTGTGGACATTACCAAATTTAAATATCTGAAACAAGGCCTCTCTTCATCAGAAATCCTACATATTTAATAATGGGTAGGATGATTTCTGCCCTTGTTATATGGATTTTACTGTTCATGTAATTATAAAATCAGAGGAAATTGTTCTATTTATTCTGAAATAGACATAAAGAAATAATTTAAAGGAAAATCTATTTGAAGAAGAAAGATTCATAATCATGTAAATTACAACTTTTAATACTTGGCCCACTCTTTCAAGAATCCCACCAAGATTTATAATAAAGTACTTGAATACATCTTGTGTAAATTTGCCTGCATGTATAAAAATTTTTGACAAAAATCTCAAGGCACTTCAGTGGGAAAATGGATTGTCTGTGAAAAAAAATCGTGCTAGAGCAATTAGATTTCTCTACAAAGAACAATAAGTACCCTATACCCAACACAAAAAAAATTAACTCAAATGGATCACAGATCTAAAAATAAAACTTAAAACTCTAAAGTTTCTAAAAGAAAATATAGAAGTCTTTATGACTTTAAGCAGACAAAAGTTCTACAAATAAAGCACAAAGAAAATATGACTCACAAATAAACTGATAAATTGAACTTCACCAAAATTTAAAATGTTACTCTTGTAAGGCCATTAAGGAAACAATTAAAGCAATAGACCAGTGCAAAAATTTATAGTATATATAATAGCCAGGGAGTCCATCAGAATAAGATGAGGAACTACATTTTTTTAACTAAGCAAAAATTTTGAGCAGAAATATCACAAAAGAAGACATAAACGGTAAGAGGCAAATAAAAAAAAAAAAACCCACACCAAATAGACCCACTAAAAACAAGTCATACCAAATGTGATAAAAGAGAAGTAAATGTAGCTCTCACACACTACTGGTAAGAACATAAAATTACACAAATGCTTTGGAAAACAGATGGGCAAGTTCTTAAAAAAAAAAAAAGTCTATGCCTATCACATGACTTAGCAGTGCCTCTTCTGGGTATGTACAGAAGAGAAATAAAAGCATACATTCATTCAAAGACTTATATAAGAATATTCTTTACAGCTCTATTTGTAGTAGCAATAGCTAAAAACAGCTAAAGATTTATATAAATGAAAATATACCATAGAGATGGTGCTGATTGATTTATAGGTGTATGCATGTTCAAATTCAAATCATATGATTTAAATATGTATAGCTTATTCTTCATTATTATCACTTCTTAAAATAAATGGTCTAGATACTGCCATTAAAAGTCAGAGCTTCTCAGACTATATTTTAAAAGGCAAGACTAAAGCATATGCTATTTAAAAGACACCTAATTGAGTGAAAATTTATATAAGTTTAAAGCAGAGGGCTAGAAATACATATATAAACGCACATTCTGATTATTAAAAACAAAGCTGAAGTGAGCTGGTAGCTCAGGCCTATCATCCCAACACTCAGCCAGCTGAGGCAAGAGGATTGCCACCAGTTCAGGGCCAGCCTGGGCTACATAGTGAGTTTAAATCCAACCTGAACTGCATAGTGAAACCTTCTCTCAAAGTCCACCCCAAAAGTTGAAGTAGCCAAATTATTAACCATATAGAATTCACAATAGGGACAAAGAGGTGCATTGAACAATTACAGCATCAATTCATAAAGAAGACAAACCATTCCTAAATGTACAGGTACACAAGCACAAAGTCTAAACTTAGAGGATCAAAAACTAATATAACTGAAAGGAAAAATGGAGACTCTGCAATGACAAGTGGAGACTTCGATACACACCCCCCAGTAGATGTGAGAAGAATTTTACAAATCAGCAATAATTGGCAAGAGTGGAAGTCTACATTGCTGCCGGGCATATAAAATGATACAAGCATTTCAGAAATATCTTAATAATCCATATACTTTGTATATGACCTAGCAATTCCAAGTATAGATTTACTCAAGAAAAATGAAAACATATATCTACATAAAAACCTAACTGCTGCCGGGCATGATGATGCATGCCTGTAACTACAGCACTCAGGAGGCTGAGGCAGGAGGATCACTGCGAGTTCGAGGCCAGCCTGGGCTACACAGTGAATTCAAGGCCAACCTGGACTACATCATGAGACCCAATCTCAAAAAGAAGAAACCTAACTGCTTCACTCATAATCATACTAAAATGGAAAGAATCCAAATGTCATGAATAAGTGAGTAGATACATGAATTGTAGTATAACCATAAATGGAATACTATTCAGCAGTAGAGAGGAGTTAGCTCGTTATACATGCAACAGTATATGTAAGTCATGTGCTCAACTATGCTGAGCAAAAGAAGGCAAAGATATGAACCTCTAGAAGACACAAATCTCATTCACAGTGACAATTCAGATCCATGATTCCCAGAAGCTAGGGTATATGGATTGAGGAGCTCCTGAGAAAGAGCACAAAGAACTTCTTCCCATGATGGACATGTTCCCAACCAGTGCTGTCCAGCGGAATCTTTGTCATAAAGGCAACGTCTTAACTCTGCCCTGTGCGATATGGTAGGCAATCACCACACCAATTACCAAACATTTGGAATGTGACTGGTACAACTGGGAAACTGCTTTTCATTTTAGTTGATTTGAATTTAACTAATCAAGTGTAGGTAGTGGCTACTATATGGGACACAGTTCCTATTTCTTGATAGTTATAGTCCTTATATGAGTTTGTCAAACCTTATCATAATATATGCTTAAAATAGATGTGTTTTCCTGCACTTAAGCTTTACCTGAATGAACTTTATTTGAAAAAGAGGTAAAGCATTTCCCAGCTAGCTTAATGCTCCACTATTTTCAAGTCAATATTATCATCAATACATAGAAACCCTGGAAAGCCCATAGGAAAAAAAAGCCCAGTTGGAAGGTTCAGCTTTCTGTGTCTGCAATAGGCTATTGTTTTCCAGTCAATACTGAGTTCTTTCATACCCACCCTGAAGATAAATGAGGCTTCTCCAATCCTCGTCAATAAAAGTTAGTCTATTCACGAGAAGCCACTTTGAAGATATCAATATGTAATACAACCACCATTGTTAATTCCCTACCACTTTGTTTGTAACTCTGTGTTGTCTGTATTGTGCTTGTGATATGTTGTAAAATGTTGTATGTCTGTTAATGTTTCCCTCCTTTTATCTTTAAAATAAAAAAAAAAAGTCTACGTCCTAGATGACACCCCATAAACCACATCTACATTATTCTTGGGCTTTTTTTGAGGAATTATGACAAAACAATGTTATTATTCAACAGAGAATATGAAAAACATTCATATTCATTTTTTTGTTCATTGAAACAGTCCTGCCTGGAAGACCAGAGCAGGTGAATCTGCCCTGCCTGGCTGTCAGACTCCAGCTGTCCCGGCCAGAAAAGCCACCACCACCCTGAACTCAGCCTCACAGCCAGGCATGTGAGGGCACCAAAGGGACAGAAAAGAAAGGCAGTACCTGGTCCCTGCCTTTCTTTGTTTGAAACAAGTGAACATGGCTTTTAAACAATTTAAGGAGAGTATAGACAAATGTCTACCTGAAAGCTACAGGCAAAAGCTTTTAGAGGGGGTGAGAAAAATCAGAGTCATTAGAGCTGGTTAGAAAGAGTCACACACAAAGGGCAGGTCTGAAGAGATGGACCCTAAAGGAAGGGCCAACTGGATGGGGGTGGGAAGCTGCAAAGGCTGCCAAAGGCTGGCGGCCAGAAACAGCATAGCAGAGGCAGGGTGGGAGGCAGAGTGCTGGGGGGTGAGCGAGAACTACCGCGCCAGCCCTGGGACTTGGCAGAGATCTGCTGAACTCAGAAGAGGCACACCAAGTATCTGATGGCTCGGTGAAACTGAGCACTAGACGCAACACCACATCCTTTGAAAGAAGAGAAAGGAGAGAGAGGGCAGGAGGAAGGGGCCGGATGGGAAGAGGAGATAATAAAGACAATGAAGACTACGGGAGGATGAAAGGAAGAAGACAGAGAATGGAGGGGTAGAGAGGGGTAGGAAAGAGTAGAGGGCAGAGAAGGAGCGACAGGGGGAGAAAGGCAAGAAGTAACTGACACCAAGTAACTGGCAAGGAGTCAGTAAACAACTGTCAGACTGCCCATAAACCCTGGCCTCCAGCTTTCTGGGCAGTCAATGAAATAAAGAAAACGAGATCAGTTAGGTGACTCACAAGCCTCCATAAAAGGAATGCAAGCTGATTATTCCCTACGTGGAGACCTCAAAGAGATCTCTGCCCAGGATCTCTGCAGCAAGTCCCTGTGACCCTGAACACATCCTCACAGGGCTGCATCATCCTTATGGTAGACACAGTGGGACCCCAGGCCTGTTCCCGTAACATTCTTCACATCCACCAACTGTGTCGCTTATGTGCTGTTATTCTTTCTCAAGAGTTAAGCACAAGGGGCCAGGGATGTAACTCAGTGGCGCAGCACCTGCCTGGCAAGTGCAACAAGTCATGAGTTCGATTGCCGGTACCCAAAATTTAAAAAAAAGAGTCAAGCATGATAAAGCCCGCGGTGTGGGTTTGAAGCCCATCATATCACCTCAAATGCCTCTTTCACTCTCTCCCTGTACAGTATATCTTCCATGAACTCTCCAGAACAGCCTCCCTCTGGAGCACTTGACTTTTCCTGGTGTCCTAAGGGCTTTTCCTGTTCACGCACATTAATCTCTGACACGCCAAATCCAGGGCAGGAAAGTCAGGGTGCAGGTTGTTCACCTGGTCGGTAGTATTTTGGTGGACAGGTTTCATTAGTTTCTCCTCCAAGCTTGCTTATTATTAGTAGGACTTTCACTTCAGTCATTCTTTTGGTCTATAAATATTTATTGACATCTACTATGTGCCTGGCACTGACAGTACAATAGTGAGCAAAGCAAAAGATCTAACACTCACCTTGTTTTATGGAACTCACAATCTGGCAAGGGAAAAAGATTAGTTTTTCAAATTTAAAAATATAAGGAAATTTACAGCCCTATGGAATGCCAGAAAGTACAGATACACAGCCCTGTAAGAGGAAATGTTGGGACAACCTAACCTACTATGGCTGGCAGGGAGAGAGCTTCTGTTCAGAAAAGATGTTCTACTGAGATCTGATGAATGCGCACTTTCTTAGGCAAAGAGAGGAAAGGATATCCCAAGCAGAAGAGGAGTAGGGACAAAGTCCCCGAAGACACCTTGTTTGAGAGTGTGGAAGTAGCCAGTATGCTAGGAGCTTAGCATGGACAGGGAAAGGGCGAGATGAGGCTGGTGAGTGCACACGCCAGGGAGCCATGTTAAGGATTTGAGTTTTATCCTAAGAGCAAGTG